CAGTCACCACGCAGGGGCAACCACAAGGGGAGGGGCGGGAGTGGGAGTGGTCAATTCCTTCTCTGAGGTTGCACTGGCAAAGCATCAACTGAGGTAACTGCTGTGCCTTTAACAGCAGCGGTGGCAGAATTTCCGACAGCAACTAGATAGCTAGGGCGAATTCAGCTGATGCCTGGAGAATAATTCTAGGGGACGTCTACTCTGATAGTTAGTATTCTGTGGTTCCCATCAACACTAGGCGAATGCCGAAACAGTACCCTCACATACGAGCCACGGGCCATGCGCGATCTTTCCTTCCTCTTCGTTGTCCTTTTCTCCCCTTACATACACTTCCACTCACATGCACTACCACACATGTCGGGAGACCAGTAGGGAGCTCTAAGCTCTAAGCTTGACGCGGCTGGGACGGTGCCACGCCGGTGGGAGATGCCTGATTGGGGAAAATCCTGGCAAGTCGACGTAGCTTGGCACCCGATCTCGCCAGCCAATCAGGGCGCCAGGAAGATCACCGCCACCTCCCGTGATGAAAACAAGCGTTACACTTACGGGAATAATTAGCTTAGCAGTTGACACTCAGAGAATCATCTGTCCATTAATCAATTCTCTGAGGTTGCCATCTGAGGATGACCTAAAAAATATCAAGGGTGGGGAAAAAGGAGGGAAAATTGTATTTCCGTCTATATTTTTTTAAAATTCAGAATAAAAATATTGTTAGCATATTTGTTATAAATTAGGCTCTTAATAGCGTAAACGTACTAATAAGCAAAACTAGAAAACATATCAAAATGGATATATCAGTTTGGAAATAAGCTCTGCATATATCCTCCAAATCCACATTGATCTAAAGTATCTTCAGAATACAGTCTTTATTCCATATGCATTAAAACATGAAATTGATTGTTGTGTCGTAAAATAACACTTTTCTGAGAAACCTGTTGTAAAATAATTCTTTGTTTATGATCTTTCTGTACGAGACACGTCAACAGGTCGATCTAGCTGATTGCGTGTTTATATTGTCGTAGTCCTCCACAGGAGCAAGTAACCAAACATGGTAGGCGATGAAGAGATTCTAAATAACCTTGTATGCGATCCTGCGAGTTCAAATACTCCTGTTTCAGAAGGACAAGTACTACATCAGATAACTCATAAAAAGCTGGAATGGGGAATAAATACTCCTCTTTAATGTAAGTAACAAAACACGTTTTCAAAATTGTGCACCTCAGCATATCCTTTAAACTTCTTTGTTTGAAACCAGTGGAACAATGGATGGACGAAAAATATTCATTGCGACATAATTATCTCGTGTAGTGTAAGAAATATGGCTAAACGTCTCCCAGAAGTTTTATTCTAATCACATTTTATATTATCTTAGAAAACTATGCTAGCAACGGATAAATACGACTGAATCTGTGGAGTAAAATTCCCCAAGGACGATAATTGGAGTCAAAATTACTTCGTATTAATTAAAGTCAACATTAGTACGTGTAGGTGAGAACATTCCAAAACAACAGATCAGGACAGAAGTGGCCCAATGAACACCTTTTCAACTTCACCATTAATTACATAGGGCACTAACAACAAATGAAGCACGAGACACAACGTCAGGGCGAGCGCAAATGAGCGAATTGTGCGGGAGAGACCAAGAAAAAAAAATTCCAGATTCTGCTGCAAACACTTAACCACACAGAAGGAGTTGCACAGTGTTCCCTTCTTCCACTTAATTTTGCACAACCAGAAATGTTCAAGTAATAACGGAGTGTATCTATTTTTTGTTATTTTTAATTTTTTTATACGCGTTATTATATCCAACTAAACGAGTCTTACTGGAACAAACATGTTCCACGCGGGAGAGCGAAACGGTCCAACAGACTTTTGATGATTGATATACGAGTATATTCCAAGGTTTTACTACAATAAAACACGACTCTTTCAACTACGACGATAATATCGCGCTATTTAGACACTTTTAGATGAAATATATACCGAGAAACGAAAGACACAGGATACCTAAATCACGACAAAAAGCCTCTTCCCTCTTATGAATTGTAGATCAATAGTGTTTCAGGATTCGTCACATATCAATCAGTCAAAACCATTATCCACCACGCAGGATGATTATCATTTTTGTCATTCAACTTCTCCTTACTCCATAGTTGTGGGAATCTAGTTACAGTGTATTTTCTTTAGTTTTCTCTTGTATTATTTTATGATGCGTGTTTGAATTTTATTTCTGGTACAGTCAAAGTAAAGAAAATTAATTTCTCACGTTTGTAATAATATTTCAGTCTACATAAGCCATGTCATTATGAACGTTTTATTCTACAAATAAGCTTTTGATTGTTTGTGCATCATCGTAAGTTTTATCGCGTTGAATATAGGTAACGTCTTTCAAAAATATCTAATGACAATAAATGTCAGTAAATGCATGAACCTCTGTTATTTATAAAATGTAAACAACTATTAGCACCGTTAAAAATATATAACTTATACTATGAAAAGATTCCCGTGATTAGATGTCGTACTTCAACTGAAACCTTTTCCGAGAACGTAGAAGAAATTAAGATAATTACAAAAACTAATTTAGATGACTTCTCTGCAAATTGAAGCCGTATTAGAAGAACTTGAATTTAAAGATCGATTGTGTTTACTTTTATACTGATCACATTTGGCCGCCCTGACTCCTAAACAAGTGATAATTAACTACGTCGTAGTGAGTCTACTCTCACTTGCCCTTCTGCAGTGTGACGAGTACTTAACACGTG